AGTTTGCTAATGTTTGCCTGGCTCGTAACACTGAAGAGCCATCATCACATACTAAGAGACAACTTGATGTTTTTCGTCAGCCTGTTTCATGTGTGTTGAACTTAAATGCGAGACAACTTTTCATTACCCTCACTAAGTCTTATTTAAGATTGTCTTGAGGTGAGAACATTGATCGGTTTCTATGTAATTAGCTTTTAGATGGCTTGTTCTTTGTGTTATCTGACTTTCAAGATGTGAAAGAAAGGCAGAATAGTTGTTGAGATTTGTTCACACATGAATGCTTACATTTGGTTACATTGCTATTTGCTGTCATTGAAAATAAAATCATTAAATAACAATGTATGTATAGGCTACTTGTATTGTTTAAAATAATGTTGGCCATGTTCAGACAGATGGTAATCTTACACGGAAATGTGAGTTTAATTGTATGTTGACTGAGCGAAGTGTTATATATGCAATAATTCTTTATTGATATGTTCATATGCTTTTATAATGAAAATATGAACAAAATAAAATCACTGTAACTGATACTGTCCAATACAGCCATTATTTAAGTCATGTTTTATCACTTGCTTGTTATTTTATTCTTATTTGCATGTTTATTTGTGTGATTGATAGATATAAAGTCTAGTTTTACTATTCAGACTGAAATGAATAACATCGGACAACATTGTATCTAATAAGGAAACACAGGTGTAACATTATTTACGGTCTGAGCCAGGAAAATATATTTGGTCAGTAGGTTGTGTACACTATTATAATGAGGGGTGCAGGTTATTTCTAATGTGGAGAGTCAGTCCGTGCGTTAAATTGTATTGAACATGTGGACAAAGATCTTTGAATGAATCTAAATCTACATGAGTACATTAGTTTTAGAATAGCTTCTTGTGTACATCCCTGTTCCAGTGATATGATGCATATTGAATGAGAACAGACTGGCAGTCATATTACTATACTACATACATAAAATGGACATACTGCAATCACACAGAGCAGCTCCTATCTCTTTTATGGGCCTTTTTTAAGGCATCACACAGGTCCACCAAAAGTGATCCAATTGCAGAAACTGGACTATTGCAGCAGAAAACCAGTGGCATGTATGTTTTATATAACGTATATAAAAATGGATGGGTCAAGGACATGTTGAATAATTGTACCTGCATAGCAATGCATGTTTGTTTTTGTTATGGATATATAACTGACCCTCGTTTACAGCAATGAGGGTTGCCAAAGAGACGCTTACATATGTTATCTTCAGGTGCTGTCGGATATATATGACATTCATATACGAAGTGTACATTCAGGACCCAATTAAGTGGAGCATGTGTTGTTATACAGCAACATGAACAGCCCCATAATCGTGCTTGAGGCTCATATTTATTCCAGTAGCAGCACAAAAAAAGTATGTGTGCACGTTCGTGGTCTGAAAGCCGGATGAAGGGGCTGGGTGGGAGCTCGTGAAGGCAACACCGGCGCCGCACTCCAACGTCACTTTGACGCACGTATAGGGCGGGGCTTTTAGTCTATACAGTTAGTTGCGGCTAGTGGTTAAATCGTGTAATGTTTATGATTCATTCAATGATGTAACACTGCTGCCCTCTAGTGGTTAAATCGTGTA